TGGGCTCTTATTTTATACATTGGGACTAGTCCTTTATCTTATAGTCCAATTGTAGCTGTACTCCCTACTGTTCTCTAAGACTCCACCTTACTGCCTGTCTACTTAGCCAGTTCCCTCTGACTCAGTCTACTCCTAAGAGCTCTTTTGTGAGGCCTTCCTTTACCATCACAGTCTTTTTGTTCTTCTGCCATCACCATGAGAAGGACATGACTGTGCTAGTTTGATGGAAGATGGGAGACACATGGAGAGTTACATCCTCCCAATCAAGGATGTCCTAGACCAGCTAGCAGCCAGCCCATCCTCAGACAGGTGAGCAAGGCCAGCCAAGACCAGCAGAGTCTCCATGACAATTTCCCCAGATGCATGAGCACTAATAAGCCCTATTGTTATATGCCACTGAGTGTTTTGTTTCACAGCCTTATTATTTTAATATATATTTTATTGATATCAGAGAGGAAGGGAGAGGGAGAGAGAGATAGAAACATCAGTGATGAGAGAGAATCATTGATTGGCAGATTCCTGCACACCCCCTACTGGGGATCGAGCCCACAACCCGGGTATGTGCCCTTGACCAGAATCAAACCCTGGACTTTTGAGTCCACAGGCCAATGCTCTATCCACTGCATCAAACCGGCTAGGGCTCATAACATTATTGAAGCAATAGATGACTGGTGCATAAATGTTTAAGTGATATCACATGAACATGACAACAAAAAACAGAATTTAGAAAACCCTAGAGAATGAATAATCCAGTTTCTTTTCTGTCCCGTAGAATTCCCCACCTTCTGGAGGGAGAAATGTTATTGATTAAAAGAGACTTTGGAGACATATGAGTCAAAGGCAATGTCTGGATCTTATATGAACTAAAAAGATGAAGGAAAACTCATGAGCTGTCTCATGCTAACTAAGGGTAAGATTCTGGTTATTGTTCAATATAAATATGTCCATTAGATATTAGATAACTGTTGCATAATCTTCCTTCCTTCCTGTCTACTATTTTTAGTGAAATACTTTGTAGCATATTATACAGATAGAAGAATGCATAAAAGATTTATAAATAGTTTAAAGATCAATTATAAAGGAAATATCCATATAGCCACAGCCCAGGTTAAGAACAGAAACACTGCCCTGACCGGTTTGGCTCAGTGGATAGAGCGTTGGCCTGTGGTCCCGGGTTCGGTTCCGGTCAAGGGCATGTACCTTGGTTGCGGGCACATCCCCAGTAGGGGTGTGCAGGAGGCAGCTGATCGATGTTTCTCGCTCATCGATGTTTCTAACTCTCTATCCCTCTCCCTTCCTCTCTGTGAAAAATCAATAAAATATAAAAAAAGAACAGAAATACTGACAGCACCCTAAAACTCACATGTACCCCTCCCCAGTCACTGCCCCCACTCAGCCCCAGAGGTAACTACCATTATCCCAACATCCATGATATTGGTTTTCTGATTTTCTTTATAGTTTTAAACTCTATGAATATAGCTCTAAACAATATAGTTTAGTTTCACAATAAAGTCTTTCAAGTTTAAGTGCTAGAATTTTTGAGCGAGAGTCGCCCATATTATTCTGTGGTAGTTAGCTGTAGTTTGTTCATGCTCTTTGTTGTGTTTCACTGTATAGATACACCAGGAATGGCATCCTCTCTATTCCATTGTGGATGGGTGTTTGAGGTTGTTTCTATTTGGCACTGTTATGAACAATACTGCTATGAACATCTTATATCTGGCTTCTGGCTTCCCCAGGTACAAACCTGAAGGGGAATTGCTGAGTTATAGGCTCTGCACATCTTTGTCTTCACTAGAAAAATGTCTGTTTCCAAAATGGTTTTACCAATTTATATTCCTGCTAACATTTCCACTGTTCCACACAGTTGCCCACATTACATGTAGACTCTCATTTTTGCTGTGGTTATAATTTGCATTTCTCTGATTACTAATAAAGTTGAACACATTTTCATATGTTTACTGACAATTTAGGTCAAATTTTATGGTAGCAGCAGGGTCTCTGTTACTAGTTCCTAAATGCGATCCCTAATGGATACACTGATGGTCTATTATTGTTATTTTATTCATTCATTACATAAATATTTGTTAAGTACTATTTTGTTCCAGGTACCACTTTTGGCACAGGTATACAGTGGAAATAAGATAGACAGAATCTTCTGGGTTTGAAATATTGTTTAGACATGGAAATGGAGAAATCACAAGGCAGTTGGTTTTTTTTTAAAAAAGTTGTCGCTTAAAGGAGAGGTTGGTGGTATGTAGCTTTCAGAGTGATCATCCTGTAGTTACTAATTACAGTTTTGGTAAAACACTTGTGGGAAAGAAAGCAGAAAAAGAGATAATAAGTCTACAGCTCAGCCCTGGTGCACTTCTAATTGGAGGTCTGACAGAAGCAGAGCCAGGGTGGAGAGGCCGGGGGAGAGGGAAGCCAAAGGAGCATGCTGTCACTGAAGCTGGAGGAGGAAGCTCTCAGGGCGGAGCTTACTGAGAGGCTTACTGAGAGGCAGAGCTAGACAGAACTGGCCACTCTTCACCCACAAAGGAAATTACCTGTGAAACTAATGAAGCTTAAGTTTCACAGATGGTCACTAGCACAGGCTCCTTCCGATGCCTGTCCCTAATTTTGTATCTGCAGTTTTATATTCTTTTGCTTAGATGACTCTCCAAATTGTATAAACTCAAGGCCCACAAAACCCAGATGTGTTGTCCCTCCTCATCGTCCTTCACCTCTCCATGACAACATATATTTCACGGACATTATTTCCTCTTTAGCTTCTTCTGGCACATTCCTCTCTTCCACGCTTCTCTTCTCTCACCATTCCCTAAAGGAAGATATGGGCTAACATTTGGCCTCAACCTTGTTCTCTCTACCCTAAGCCTCTGTGAAATTATTCATTCATATCTCCCTTACATGAATAATTCCCAAATTCATACTTCCAGTACGGCTCTCTACCTCCCAGACACAGGCAAATAATTATGCCTTTTTGAAAGTAATTTGCCATGATAAACATTTATCATTTTAGAAAGCTCATACACAAGAAAAAGATGAAATGGATCAAAAAGGAAAGAAATATATACTTGGCTCAGACAGTATTATTCATTGGCATATTTTTGTAGGAAAACAACAACAACAACAGAATACAGCCTGTCTTAGGAATCTGTTGCTGAATAACAAGTTACCCCACACTTGAGTGGACTAAAACAACAACAGTGCCAATCTCCCAGTCTCTGTAGGACAGCAATCTGTGTGAGGCCCAACCCGGTCCTCTGCATCCGGGATTCTCACCTGCTGCCATCCAGGCCTGGGGAGGAGTTATCATCATCTCAAGGCTCATTTGGGAAAGGATCCGTTTCCTGCCTCCTTCAAATGGCATTGGCCAGATTTAGTTCCTTGCAGGTTGGTGAACTGAGGGCTTGAGATCCTTGCTGGCTTAGAGTGTTGGAGGCGACCCTCAGTTCCTTGCCATGGGGACCTCAAGCAGCTCACAACACAGTAGATGACTTCATCAGAGTCAGCAAGAGAGGTAGTGACCACCAGAGAACATGCAAGCCAGATGAAAGTCAGCCTAAAGTGACAGCCACCACTGTTGTCTTAGTCCAGTGATGGCGAATCTTTTGAGCTCGGCGTGTCAGCATTTTGAAAAACCCTAACTTAACTCTGGTGCCGTGTCACATATAGAAATTTTTTGATATTTGCAACCATAGTAAAACAAAGACTTATATTTTTGATATTTATTTTATATATTTAAATGCCATTTAACAAAGAAAAATCAACCAAAAAAATGAGTTTGCGTGTCACCTCTGACACGCGTGTCATAGGTTCGCCATCACTATCTTATTCTATTGCTAGAGGGGAGTCACTAGATCCAGCCCACATACAGTGGAAGAGGATGACACAAAGGAGTGAATACCAGGAGTCAGGGATTATTGGAAGCCATTTTAGGAGCAGCCTATCACACAGCTCCTGTCCTCCAGGGACTCACCAATATAGGTGAGAACGCATTGTGTAGGTACCTGAGAAAGACTAAGGTGTGCTGGCTCAATGACTGCCTATCAGTGTAGATGTACGTTACTCTACAGCGGAGTCACTGTGTTCCTGTCAGATTGCTTGTAACAAGTTTTAGGTGGTCACTGATCTTCACTGTACTTTGAGATACATTTCACAGAGGCTGCCCTCCTCCCCTCCCATTCCAGAAGAACTGCGATAATAATGTAAAATGTAAGCTTAAGAATCTTACTAAGAGTGTGCTATGTGGTTGTGCAAGAATCCCCCTTCCTTTGTGCAATGCTGCTAGTCGGGAAGGACAGTGTTTCCTTCTCGCTTGGTGGTCAAAACTCCACCCAAATACCCCTCTTCCTTAAAAAGTAGGAAACAACACTATCTGGATATGAATTATTTGCATTAATGCAGAAACTCAAGTTTCTCATCTCATCTGCTGAGTTTTCCTCTTGCCATAAGAAAAAGAAAAGACCAATTGGCTTATTTTAATCTCTCTGAAAATTACTCAGCGATTTAATAATTAGCACACGGGCTTATAGTCAATCATAGTAAACACAAGCGATCAAATTAGTTATCGATTTACTTGCACATGCTGTAAGCACACTTCTCCGTGCTTTATAACACCGGGCTCTGGGTTCCTAATCTTGGTCCTCATGTGCAGTTCCACCCCACACCAGATGGGGCAGAAGCAGCCTTTCCTCACTCAGGTTTCCCCGCCAGCGTCTGTCTCTGTCAGATCCTACCAAGTCAGTGAGAAAGGGGGGATGGCCATGGAGACTGCAGACTTGTGCTCAGGATTGCCTTCTCAAGAGAAATATGTTCCATATTATGAGATCTTAAAAAACACATTATAATTGTGTAAACCCCAGTGCGTGAGAACACTCCCAGGGCCTGGCCTTGCGAGGCCCAGCATTTTCCTGCCCCCCCCGCTCCGGTAGAGGAAGGTACGGCCTGGCCGGCGGAGGGCCGACCCGGAAGTCGCCTCCGTTGCGCCCACTGCGCTATCCCCGCTGCGGGAAGTTGAGAGCTGTGCTGCCCGGAAGACGTGGGCTCTCCGCTTCTCCTCCTGGGTCCCCCTTCCTGGGTCCCCATCGGCCTATGGGCCTCCACAGCGACGGCAGGGGCCCGGCCCCGGGGCGGGCAGCCCGAGCGGAGCCACGGAGCTCCGCGGGCCTGTGCGGCGGGCTCGCCGTGTTCGCCGCCGTGGCCGCAGTGTTCACCCTCACGCTGCCCCCCTCGGTGCCCGGGGGAGACGCGGGTAAAGTACTCTCAGGGCCGCCCCTCCTGCCCCTCTCCCCGGGTCGACACTCGTCCCGCCAGGCCTGGGCTCTCGCGCCCCCCTCCTGCCTCCTGTGATTTCGTTAGTCCTCTGGCTTCTGAGATCGGGTTTGTCAGTCTTGTCTGTTGGGGCGGACCGCACTCTCCACGTCCCCGGGCATTTCTCTGGACCAGTGATTCTCAACCTTCTGGCCCTTTAAATACAGTTCCTCATGCTGTGACCCAACCATAAAATTATTTTCGTTGCTACTTCATAACTGTAAAGTTGCTACTGTTATGAATCGTCATGTAAATATCTGATATGCAGGATGGTCTTAGGCGACCCACAGGTTGAGAACCGCTGCCCTGGACCCTTTTGCTTTCCATTCCCATTCAGTGCACACGTCTTCCCGCTGCGTGTTGTGCCCCGGCCGAGGCATTAACAACAGAGGTGACAGGTGAACGGTATCCCGGGGAGGACTCTGGTGCCGGGAGACGGGCGAACCGCGGAATGAAGAGCTGCCTATGAAGTGGCGCTAAGTCAATGTGGACAGTGAGGGGGGTGTGATTGCGAAGGGGTGGCTAGTAGCTCTTTTTTTTTTAAGTTCTCTTTCGATTGAGTTTATTGGGGCGCATTGGTTAATAAAGTGACATCGGTTTCAGGTGTACAATGCTATAACACGTCGTCTGTATATTGTACTGCTATTCACTCCAAGGCACGCCTGCTTCCATCACCGCTTATCACCTCTTTGCCCTCTTCTATCTCCCCCTGCCCCCCGACACACACACACACACACACACACACACACCCCACCCCTTTCCCTCAGTAATCTTGTCCAGGAGTTTTCGTTTGTTTGTTTAATCCAGAGGTTCTCAACCTGTGGGTCGCGACCCCTTTGGCGGTCGAACGACCCTTTCACAGGGGTCGCCTAAGACCATCCTGCATATCAGATATTTACATGACGATTCATAACAGTAGCAACATTACAGTTATGAAGTAGCAACGAACCTAATTTTATGGTTGGGTCACAACATGAGGAACTGTATTTAAAGGGCCAGAAGGTTGAGAACCACTGATTCCCTTCACCTTTTCACCCAGCCCCTCAAGTCCCCTCCCCTCCGACAGCTGTCAGCCTGTTCCCTATGAGTCTGTTTCTCTTTTGTTTGTTAGTTTTATTTTGTCCATCATGTTTCACACAGGAGTGAGATCATGTGTCTCTTTCTCTGGCTTATTTCACTTAGCATAATGCTCTCCAGATCCGTCCAGGCTGTTGCAAAGGGTAGTAAGATGTCCTCCTTTTGTTTACCGCGGGGTAGTAGTATTCCATTGGGTAAATGTACTACACACAGCTTTTGCTTTTTTCTTTCTTTCTTTCTTTCTTTCTTTCTTTTTTTTTTTTTTAAATCTGGTGGCTCCTTCTGAATGGCTAGTCAGGAAAGGCCACGGAAGAGTTGGTATTTTCATGAATATTGAATAGGAACCAGCCTTGCAGAATATTTGGGGGAGAATACTTAGAATACTTAAAATAGTGGAAGTCAGGTTGCAGTTCAAAGCAAGCTACTTCTATTAAAAAGAAATCCATGACTCGTGTGCCATTTAAATCATGAGAATTCTTGTTTTGTATTTGGCCCCAGAAGAAATAAGAAATAGGTTTTGTCTTGCTGCCAACTTGAGTGACCGTGCAATAATGCCCACTAACGGCCAGTAGTTTTGTCAGTGCCCTATATTCAGATAGTGAATCTGTAGTTACCTTCGCTGCATAGCAAGATACTCGCTTAAAACGACGAATATTTTTTAGCTCATATTTTATGTGTAGCAGGACTCTGGGTGCTCTTCCTCAGGACAAGGTCGTGGTCATGGTGTCGGCTGGGCTGCAGTCCTCTCCAGGCTCAACTCGGGAAGGACTCGCTTCTAAGCTCAGTCCAGTTCTTTGCCAAGTGGGTCCGGGTGAGCTAACCTCTGTCGGGAGGAAGAGATGGCCCCTTCGTCATTTTGTAACTTAATCTTGGAAGTGATATACCACTGCCCTATTTTGATCACGGAAGTTAGCCCGTGACTCAAGCACAATCTCTGGGGCAGGGTTATACAGTGAGAATACCAGGAGTTGGAGGTCCTTAGGAGTCATCTTCAGGGCCGCCTGCCACACTTGAGGATCCTTGATGTTCCATTTTCAAGTCATTACCTTTATTCTTTCAGGTCCTGTTCAACATGTAGGAGGATTGTTTCATGAGTATAGTGGGGAATGGAGTTACCATGCTTCCAAGGTTTATATTAAATAAGAGAAATAACCTTATTTTTGTGAGGATTTTGACATTGGAGAGCATTAGTCATGGGTTGGGTAGTTCTGTACCTTTCCCAAAAGAAAACCACTGACAGGACTTACCATGGTTGATTGAAACTGAATATGGGGGGGTGTGATGAATAATAATAACTAATACTTAACTGAGCACTTGCTATGTGCAGGTACAATTCTAAGTGCTTTACATGGATTGTTGTTTTAGTCCTCCCAGCTACCAATGTGGTAATTACCTTCAATAACTATAAGGTAGTTACTAGCAATATCTGTATAGCCCTGGCAGGTGCTCAGTGGTTAGAGCATCGGCCAGTGGACATAAGGGTCTCAGGTTTGATTCCTGGTCGAGGGCACCTACCTCGGTTGCAGGTTCCCAGCCCCGTTGGGGTGGGTGCAGGAGGCAATCAATTCGTGTGTCTCATGTAGATGTTTCTCTCCGCCCTTCCCTCTCTAGAAATCAGTGGGAAAAATAAATATCTTTATAAATGAGAAAACTAAAGCTCGGCGATGTCCAGAGTTACCCAACTAGAAAGTAGGGGCAGTCAAGGAAAGAATCCAAAAAGATTGACTTTAAAACATGCTCTCGTAACCTTCACTCTCTGTCAAAGAATTTCATAAATTGTTTGTTAAATCCGTCATCACATTTAGTGATATTTAGAGTGATTAAAATCTGCGATTGTTGCCTTGTCTTTATTAATGCTGTTTTAATTTTTCCCAAAAGAATAAAGTTATCTATTCACTGAGTTACCAAAAAACTTTTTAGGTGCTCTTATTTGTTTAGTTTGACACTAAATAGTAGTCACTTCTAGTATTTTTGTTCATTTCGGGGAATGATAAATTGTATAATCATATCTTTGATAATTTTATGTTGGATGGGCTGTTCTCCTTGAATATTTGTGTTTATGAAATATATTTTATATCAATAAACAACCCATCTCAAAACCAATAAAAAGCATGTATTATTCTTCCTGATAAGTCTTAAACTATACTCCATCAATCCATCCTATTGTGTGGCCTTGCCAATCTTTTGTACCACTTGATACACATAGTTGATTTATGGGTAGGAGTGTTGAGTCCTTCGGAGGAGAGGGTGAGAATCTAGCCTTCACGTCAGTTTGTTATTCTTGGGGAAAATGAATTCACATTCGAAAACCATCTTTAACAGACTTGATATTTGACAATATAATTACTATAAGAATTATAATGTAAAGGAACTCATTTTTAATGATTAAGCATCTGCTGACAATTCTAAGCTTGCTACCATTTGTGTCCCAGATAAGTGATAAAAATCATGAAGGAGAACATCACGAAAGACAAAAAGCTGTGTTTCTCAAACTTGAATATACTTCAGAATTGCCTGGGAAAATTCGGCCCCAATGCCAGAGGGTCTTAGTGTAGGTAGATTTGGGGTATGATCAAGAAATCTTCATTTTTATAAAGCACCCAGATAATTCTGATTGCAGGTGGTAGTAGGACTTACATTTCAGTAGTGTGAAAGGTTGGGAGGAAGCAAGGACCCAGGAGGCTCTTTGTTGTTTTTGACTGTTCATGTCCTTTCTTTTCTTTATCATACGTAATTTTAAGAGTAATATTTCCCACCCTAGCCAGTTTGGCAATGTGGATAGAGCATCAGCCTGCATACTGAAGGGTCCAGGTTCGATTCTGGTCAAGGGCACATACCTTGGTTGCAGGTTCCCCAGCCCTGGTTGGCGTGCTTGCAGGAGGCAACCAATCCATGTGTCTCTCACATTGATGTTTGTCTCTGTCTCTTCCCTCTCCCACTCTCTCTAAAAATTAATGGAAAAATATCCTCTGGCGAGGATTAACAACAAAAAAGAGTAATATTTCCCTTTAGCTCTTTATCACAGATACAGTTATAGGCTTTGCTTTGAATGGTAGCATCTTCTCTGTATAGATTTTAGTTTAACATTTGATAAGAGTTGATGGAAGTTTGTCATATTCCAGAATTATCCTTTTACTAACAGAACACCAGCAAAGAATAACAGCATATTGACTTTCTACTGATAAATAGTTAGAGAAAATGGGCTATTTTTGTTAATGTTAACATTTTAAATGGAAGAGAATGACTAGTGGCCTTGAAATGTTGAACTGCACTGTACTTCATTACACCTACGGAAGGGGAAGAACAAAAAATTTGGTTAAAATAGTTTTGGACTAAAGACATTAGAACTATCCTATTCTAGAACAAAACTATATACTTGACAATAGTTACAAAGGGAACAGTTATTCTAGACATTTTTAGATCATAAACAATTTCTTTGAAAAGTATGTGAGATACAAAAATTACCTTTGGTTTCTAAGGTTTTCTTGAATATCTTCAGAAAACTTAAAATATGCCCGTAAGTAATTGACTTAAATAAGCAATATCGGTCTTTAGGTGCTTTTATGGGGGTTCCATGATGTAAGCAGTCATTTACCTAAAAGGGGTGTCTGAGGAGCAAGGATGACAGTGTGATAGGTGTCAGTCAACCTCTATGTCCAGAGCTTGAATTAGAGTCTTTGTGTGTGGCCAGAGGAGGAAGAGGTGGTGATGTCTTGACAAGATCCAGAACTGATTAGGATAATATTTGTAACTTAATGGAAAAGACAGAAATGAAAGCAACTAACCAGAATAAAAGGCATTCTAAATAAATGCTAAATAGAGAGGTTCAGGCAGGTTCTATAAGGAAGCAGTGATCAGTTCTGATGGGGGAGTTAGCTGCGGAGCAGGTATATGTAAGGAGACATGTCACTGAGAAGGTGGCAATTGAACTAGGCCTTGAAGGATTTAGAAGAGAATACCAGGGGAGGAAATGAGTGATAAGAGGCACGAAAGGACCATTCCAGAGGAACAGTGGGTAATCAGATTTGACTGAGGTGAGCGTAGGTTTGTAAAGGGAACTTGAAGCCATAGAGGGCTTGCATGTCATGCTGAGGAATCTGAACTTCATTGAGTAAGCAGAAAGCAGCCATTGAGAAATTTTAGATGAGGGATATGATCTAGCCTTTTGAGGTTTGGGGGAGTAGGTTGGGGGTGGCATTTAATAAGTGATTTCAGTATGAAGAGGAATTGAAATAGAAGATTGGTCAATGCTTTTGTAGTCCAAGCCAGAGAAGGTAAAGGTCTACACAGTGGCTAGGGCAGTCAGTAAAGATTAAGAATATTGATATTCATTGAAGGATAGAAAGTGGACATTAATACATTTCCTAATAGATAATAAAACTTTCATGAATCATCAATTAATATTGATTGATTTCTTACATTGTACTGTATTACAGTTTACACGGATGAGTCAAAAATAGTCCCTGTGCTCTGGATACTTAAAATATTAACAAAATAGTCTCTTCCTCTGCGTTGCCTACGGAGGTGGCAGCCATCTCCTACTGGGCACCATGGCTGCCCTCAGACCCCTCGTGAAACCTAAGATTGTCAAAGAGAGAACCAAGAAGTTCACCCGGCACCAGTCAGACCGATATGTCAAAATTAAGCGGAACTGGCGGAAGCCCGGAGGCATTGACAATAGGGTGCGTAGAAGATTCAAGGGCCAGCTCTTGATGCCCAACATTGGTTATGGGAGCAACAAGAAAACAAAGCGCATGCTGCCCAGTGGCTTTCGGAAGTTTCTGGCCCATAACATCAAGGAGCTTGAAGTGCTGCTGATGTGCAACAGATCTCACTGTTCTGAGACTGCTCACAACATCTCCTCAAAGAACCTCAAAGCCGTTGTGGAAAGAGCAGCCCAGCTGGCCCTCAGAGTCACCAATCCCAATGCCAGGCTGTGCAGCGAAGAAAATGAATAGACAGATTGTGTACACATTGTATTTGTGTTAATAAAATCATAAAATTCTGCCAAAAAGCAATATTAACAAAACGGGCATTGAATGAATGCATTATAATTTTAAAAATAATTACTAATGGCAAGGAACTATAGAGGGCTATGTAAATAGTATAAGGATTTAATAGTTTGAAAAAAATATATTACAGTAATCGAAGTTTACCAAAATAATCTGGAGCAAATTAACACTTGGAAATTGTTTAAAGGTATCCAACCTAATTAATGTAGAGAAGGTATTCAAATGTCAGAGGTAGGGCAGGATGGCACACTCTTTGGAGTGTCCAAACCTCAGATGTCTGCACATTCTACATTTCATACGGTTACATCTTTATAGACAGTTTTGTACTAAATTCTTGAGGGATAATATAGCATATTACATTAATGCTCTCTAAGAGTTTTAAAAAATATATTTGCAAGTGTGTACAACTTTCGGGAGGGAAAATAAGCATTTTCGTAAAAATAGAATTCGCCTTTTTTTACTGACCAGTTACTAAAAGCTACCAGAGATAGTTTATTCAGTAAGACCTAAGGTGGATAATATTCTTAGACTATTCACGCTGTTAAATCTCTGCAGATTTAGTTTTATCCAGTCAAATTAATGCAAAACCCCAGTGCAAGCATTTGGATTTTGGAAACTTTGGAGGAGTGTCATTTTCTAATAGTCATTATTGGTTTTACATTATTTTTTCACAGGGGAACTGATCACAGCCGCACATGAGCTTGGAGTAAGTATTAGTTTTATTGTTTAATCAATGCTCTCATTAACAGTTTTAGGAATTAAGAAAGTTTAATTAAGCATGGAATAAAGTAGATTAATTTATTTTTAAACCCCAGTTTTTAGTAACTTATAAGTACAGTACGTGACAATTTACTTTAAGTTTTAAATCCAATTAAACTAAATTATAAAGCAAAGTCTTTACTATATGTACAGTAGCCGGCTTATTATCACCCTAAATTTTGTATAAGCTGTGGAGAATAAAATAAATCGGGTTAACAGTTCTAATAAGTTTATTATTTAATAAACTTTATTATGGTGCATGATCCCTTTAGGCAAGACCTTAGGACTGTCAGCATGGTGGTAATCCGATAGCAGTGTGGTCTTTCCACTTTCTCACCAATACGATATTTCAGAACCTGCTTCTTTTTTTTTCAATGGCCTTTTAAAATGACCCTAATGTACTATGAACCCAGAGAACAAACTGCTTAAGAGTTGACAATGAAATATGTCACCCTTTCTCTAGGTGACATACCATGTGATAGACGCTGCCAAATCCACTAAAGAAAATATTTATTTGTATTGGCACAAAAGGATTACAATAGAAAGCCCCTATTCAAACAGTTAGTCATCAGCTCTTAATCTTATACTTACCTGAGGAGAGGGTACTTGTTAATTAAAGCCAGTGTGACCCTTCGTTTACTAGATGAGAACCTTCTAACTTGTGAATTTTTCTGCAGGTTGCCCATCCTCCTGGCTATCCTTTGTTCACTCTGGTGGCTAAACTGGCCATTATACTATTTCCTTTTGGCTCCGTTGCCTACCGAGTCAATTTTCTGTGTGGCTTATTTGGAGCAGCAGCTGCATCATTACTTTTTTTCACCGTTTTCAGGTAAAGTAGTTGATTAGTTAAAATCCACTTGGACTAACTGGAGATGTAATTTTCTTATTGCCCAAATACATACATTAAAAAATGATTTTTGTTATTGTTTGAATGGTTTTCCAATATCACCCATGCGATTTCACTTTCTTAATTTACAGTAATTTCATATGCATTTGACCCTAAATGATTACACAGTTAATTCTGCTTCATACAATGGCATGAAAGTATCACCAGTTCATTATCACAGTTCTCTGGTTAGGCAGAACTAATAAGGTTTGTCGTTTTATGAAAATGCAGATGGGCCAGTTTAACCCAACCATATGAAGTTCATCTTTGGGTAAATGATAAATGTCCTTTAATTACTCAAAGTATTGCTGATGGGCAGCTGCCCATCAGGTTCAGAGCTAATACCGAATTCTATTGTATTTAAATATGCACATGTTGTATACCTTTTGAAATGAGGCTATTAACGAAAGAAATCATTTGGGATGTGGTTTCAGTAAGGTTTCACTTTGTTCCATTATAGCTGTAGGGAAAATAGGCAAATTAGACCCCACTTATTTCATTGATGGAAGGCTTTCTTAGTTTTGAAGGCTACAGCGCTGCTTTTAAAAAATGGGTCGTTAGTTTAAGGATATTGGTGAACTCATTTGTCTTTGCTATTTCTGTTTCCTTCATTCTTAACTCAGTCTAACCTATGCCTAAGAGGATTAGAGTGAAAAATACAAATTATACTTCCTGCAAAGGGAATGCCAAATTAAAACACTTCTTTCAAAAACTATTGTAGGTTTGATTATAAAACAAATAACTTTTGTATGTAAATATAGTAGAATTTGAACAGACATAATTTTAAATGTCATTTTGGAGACGAATGTTTTTATTTTGGTTAGTTATAATATTGCCCCTCAGCTAAATTATTTTCTAAATTCTCTTAATTATTTATAGTAAGGTAAAAGTTAACATAATTATGACTTTATACTTTTAAATCTATTTGTAGAAAGCTTTCAGATTCAGATGTTATAATTGTTGATCATTCACTAAATTTTTATCTATATTATTTAATTTGTTTCTATTTCAGTCTTACAGGTTTTCAGTGATAGCCAATTTTTTAAGCATGAAATGTTTAAAGTAACATCTCTGCTTGGATTTATTTGTATTATGAATGTTATTAATATTTTCTTATTCTAAATAATTAGAATAATCTTTTTAGATTGCTCCTTCTGAGTCTTTTATAATTAAGAACCTATCATTATTTCTGTTGATAGGAAAACTGATCTTTTTTATTTTTAAGTGTTCAGGTTGAAATTTAGACTTACCTGTTCTATATTGAATGTGTGAGTTATTAATTTTCACAAGACATTTAAGACAGACATGTAAAGAAAATTAATACTTGTATTTAGGTAGTTCATCTGTATTTTAGAAGATCATTTCTATAACATATACATATGTTTAAATGCTGTGGGGATATAAATAGCTTTTATGCAAATAAAGAGCTTTTCTTTCTAAAACTTTTCTATATTTTTCAGTATATGAATTGCTGATGCTATTCTACATGGAAACCACTGTAAAAATCATATGTAAAAATCTTTATCTTTATAGAATCCAAATAGTTCTGGACAATAATTTCCCTTTGAGTTTTCTAGATTTTAAAATAGCTTTTATTAATTATTATGCTTGACTCTAATGGGTTTTGGATTAGCACACTAGTCTGTAACCCTTTTCTTTTAATATGTAGTCTTAATGATAAATTTATGTACTTGCTGTTACATGTTTTAAACCAAAAACTCTTAGTATGATAAACTGGATATTTAAGTTGTTTTAGTAATATAGTACTTTGAAAAAGTTGCTTTCTTTCAGAAAAGGGATCTAACAATATTATCTCTTACATGCATTTTAATATGAAAATACTTCATTATTTTGAATACAAATAATTGACAAGGTACACGTCCTTTGGGAGCAACCTAGTTCAAGTGGCAAATCTGTTTTGTCAAACAATAGACACCCTTCAGGAAAGAGCAAGCCATCTCTATGGTAATAGGACTAACAGTAGCCTATTGATTGAGTGGAAGAAGACATTATACAATGTCAGCTGGCTTGTTACAATTTCATTTGTTGTATGACCTGAACTTAACCTTTAAAACCTTTCTTCTGTGAATATAAACCCAACAGCAGGATGCAGTTTTTGTACAGCCATTACAGTGACGGCTTTTTTTCCAGCCCCACCATACAGTAAATGTATTCCTTTGCAGGTTGACTCGTTTATTAGACTTCGTTGAGGAGACATTTCACTACTTTATTCATTGACACACCAAATCATCATTCTATTTTGTTGTTACATATTGAGGGGTTTTGATCCAGGAAGCTGTTTTATTCTTTTTTTCCTGTCACTTAAGAGAACATTACTGTACATATGGGATTAATGCTGACTGGTGTGCAGTAAATTAATTCTTTTAACAGGTTTGGTTTTTTTTCAGGTAATTGTTCACATAGCATTCACTATATTTAGCTCTTGGGTGGACATAAAGACCTTCTGTACCTTTTAAACAAAGATTGTATTTCAAAAGCCAATTTCTGTTTAAATGTGTTGATGTAAAAAGCTCCATTTTTTTCAGTAAACATGACTTGATTGAGAGACCGATTTATTCGTTGTTTCCAATTACTATGTAATTTTTGCCTTTCTTCCATCTTTCTCTTGCTTTTAAAAGCAGTAAGATGTCATTAACACTGCATTTTTTTGTCAATCTTTTCTAGTGGTTGGCAAGAACTCATTTATATATTTGCTTTGCCCTAATGTGGAAAGCATATGAGTAAAACAGCAAATTGAAAGCTATCTGTATCACTGTAGTTTATTGAATTAAAAATAGTAAGATTGTGCCAGTTGTTTCTGTATGTATTTATATATTGTCCCCTTCAGGGGTACTTTTAAGCATGCATTATGTTAAGGGAGTTTAATGTAATACATTTAATTTATATTACATAGTATTCATTTTATTAATGTGTGCATCTGTGCATTTAAGACTGCAATACAGTTAGTGTTTTATAGGAACTGGGATTTTCTCTTTTTTTAAGGCCATTAAAATAAATGATTTTTGAGTCTGATTGTATGATATTTAAAGTGTTAAATTTGAAATTCACAAATCCCGTTAATACAACATTAAAAAAAGTTATAGAAAATGTAAAGCACTAACATGAACACCACTTAGCATTGCCTTGTACTTGAATTTCAAACTTATTTCCTAAGAAACATCAGGCTAGGTTCTATATACTAATAAGGAAGGAATAGTGAAATCACTATCATTAAACATCAATGTGCTTACATTTCATATATCCTGGTATCACTAAAAGAGAATGGATAGCATTGCATAAAAATTCTTTACCTCAGGAAAAATGTAAATTGTTTATGATCTCAGATGAGGGCATATCTTGTATCATTTACTTTGGTTGCTGCAAGGCAGGGAATATAGTCTCAACAGGTTTGAGAGTCAGCATATCCTTTTCAAACTGTTAGGGGCCAAAAGGAGCTAGAGAAGGACTGATTCAGCAATATTTGTTGAGCACCCAGGTGAGTCGAAAGTAAACTTGTTTTAGTTTTTATAATCAAAAGTCTGCTTATTTTAAAGAAAGACAAAATTACCAACTTTTAAACAGGCAGTTTTTTAAAATATTTTCTCTAAAAGGCACTGTTTCAGGAAACTTGCATAAAAAAACTTTGAGACCATTAATATTGCACAGTAAGAAATCAGATCTTTTAATGTCAAGCAGGTTACCTAGAATATATGAATATTAATAATAATTAAAGGTGTATGGAAACTGTGCCTGTTTACTACAAAGAACCTACAACCAACTTCAGCAATATTTAAATATCTTTTGGCAAATTGTTTTGTGCCATTATTTTATTTATGGGGTATTTAATTTTTTATAAGTTGTATGTTTCTAAACATTATGCTGCTGCTAAAAATTAATTTGATTAGGAAAAGGAACACTTGATTCTGAGCACTGTGTCTGCTATTCTTAGAGCTTCAGCTAAGATTCCATTCAATAAAGAATAGAAAAATGGCATACCTTAGAGAATGTAGAATCTTCTGCTTAAGGGACATTTGGATTTTCCAACTCAAAGAGTATTCTAGATGATTGCGGTAGAGAATAATGTGAAACTGCCTAATTTCAGAGGTAGCTATGCATAAGTAACAAATAGTCACCAGGTTTTTGTAGTTGAAGAAGAATGAAAAGTACTGGAGCATTAATTTCCATTCAGGAGACTATCTGTCTTGATCCCTGGTTAATTGATCATACATTTCTCTCATACTTGTATTGAAATTGCATTGACTCAGACTGGGTAAGCATATTAAGAGCTTGGTTCATTTGCATTTTCTTATAAGTAGAGAGACATATTAGACTCAAATAGCAGCACTTCATTTTGAAGGGAAAAAAGCAGGGCAAAAACTCTTTTTTAAGACTGTAGAGTCTTTTCTGACAGCTAGTCAGAGTTAGAATTAGTTCAAGGAAATGTTAATAATGCACCGCCTGGCCTAATCCCTTTGATATCACCAGGTATCCTCCTGTTCATGGGTTAATTGCTTTAAAAGCGAAGGCAATATTCTGAGCGGTGGGCCGCTTCACCTTTTCACAGCTGTTACCATTGAGTGACAACTAAATCCCATGTGTAAGATGAGGAAGAGCTCAATCTCCAATTGGGAGAAAATTTATGTAAACCACAATCCCTTCAGAATGTACGGAAGTCATAGACTTTCTTGATTTACTCTGCTTTTCCCAGAAAGCTCTATTGTTCACTTTCCTAAGTCCCATCAACCCTTTGTAGCAGAATATCACAGCGGCAGCAGATAGCTTGAAATATATAAATGCTATCATAGCTCTGATTAATAGCAGTGCTTATGAGTCAAGTCTGATAACAGTGCAGCTCTCCACTCAATTTCAGATACTGCTAATGGAATCTGTCTTCTCCAATTGTAATATGAGAAGGCCTAATTTGCCATGGAGCTTGGAGCTGT